TCAATTTAGTAATTGAAAGAAAAGAATTCGGTTGTTAAAAAATGTCAGAGACTAAATTCTAAATAATTAAAAAACTAAATTCAATCCATTGTTTTACCTATACTCTAAAAAACCATTTTTGATGAAAAATCTTTAATTAAAATTATTCTAGATTAGTCTAAAAATAATGCTTAGTCTAGTTCTATTTCATGAGAAATTCCTGCTGAGTCTTAATACAAAATCATCTTTTAGAAAGACTATTTTAGAAAGAAACACTTAATGTTAAGTCATCCAGAACTTATAATCATTACTCAACTATCTTTGTTGTAAGTCTCTATAGTTATGATCCTTCTTTTTCTTCGATTATTTTTTTTTAATAAACAAATAGAAATGATATTTATCTTCAATACAGACATAAAGATAATTGAACCTACCTACCAAACAGTCATTTACTTGCTTTTCCCAGCACCAATAAATTGGACGTATGAAGTCTTGTCTTTTGTGATAACGAGATTCCTTGACAACCCTTTTGCTGTACGTTTTTCTTCTAAATAATTAACACATTTTTCAAAATAGTCTAATGCCTGTTCTAAAACTTCTTTATTTTGACTAAGATCAGTTGTGTCATTAAAATATCCAAGTTCAATTAATTTATTAAACTCTTTGAATAATGATAAAGTTAAAACACTTGGATAACCTTTATAAATTACTACATCTTCACCTTTTTCAAATTTATGTCCTATTATCTCAATAATGAAACTATAATTTACAATAAAAGGAATTGGTAAAATTCCGAATGTTGTTGTAGAAACTTCCCATTGGTCTTCTTCTTCTTTTACTTCTTCCTTTACCTCTTCTTTTGGTTCTAGTCGAACCTCATTTGATTCAGATGAAAAGTCTTTTACTTCCTTAATCTGACGAGTTTTCCGTTCTCTTTTATCTCTACCTTTCTTTTTTCTTTCTCTTACTTGCTTTATTTTTGAAGTGGAAATCTTTTCATCACTTTCATCACTTTCACCAAATTCGTCATTGAGTAGTGACGAACCTTCCATAACCCACGACTTACCTATTTCTTCATTTGGTTTTGGTGTTTTTGCTTTGACAATATCTTCAGATACAATCTTCTCAATCAAATTCTTAGGTTTTTCTTTTCTCTCTTTCCTTTTTCGTCCAACACATCTTCTTGGCTTTTTGGTTTCATGGTCTTCTGGTGGTTCGTTCATCTCTTTATACTGTTTTTTCAATATCTCACATTTGGCTGAAATAACTTCATTTTCACTTTTTGTTTGGATTGTTTGTGAAAATAATAACGAAATCTCTTCATCTTTTTCTTTTAACATATTAGTATAATATTCAATCTCTTTCTCGCGTGATTGTATTTCTTCTTCTATTACTATATTCTCTTTTTCTATTAATTCTATTTCTTTTTGAATGGATTTGTATTTTACATAATCTTCCAGTTGAACACTCACTAACTGGTTGTTCATATGTCAATTTCTTGAATTTATTTATTTTTAGTTTTCTTCAAAAAATTGGTTCTTTAACAATATCTCAAACAGCATCTTTTTTTATTTTAGGTTTGTGTTTTTTTTTAATGACGTGGAAACTAAAGTCTTTACTTTCACAATAACTAAAATGCCTTGAGTATGATATGACATGGAAGATGACGTGGACGCTGAGTAAAAAAAAGAAAGGATAGTAAAAGACTTTAAAATAGTAGGTAATAGTATAATGAACACAGCAGAACGTGTTCCTCTCATTAAGAATGAAGAACAGAATACTAAGTTTTGTTCAGAAAATCAATTTGATAAGAGTTGTGATACAGTTGATGAGTCTTGGAAGTTGACTAAGAATATTTTTACTAAAATATCAACAAGAAATGCCAAACTCAAAAAATTTTATGAAAAACAGAATAAATTTGTTGATTCTCTCTTTGAAGAAGTTCCTGATGATAAAGATGAAATTACTGATTGTAGGACAAAAATAGCAATTTATGGAAGTTTTATTGTGAATGTTTGTTTATGTCTTATAAAAATTGTTGCAGCTGTAATGTCTGGATCATTAACAGTTATTGCGAGTACATTAGATTCATGTTTGGATATTATTTCAGGTGCAGTTATGTTTATTACTGCATTACTCATGAGAAAAAGAAATATTTATAAATATCCTGTTGGAAAAAAGAGAATGGAACCTTTAGGTGTTATTGTTTTTGCTACAGCAATGTTTACTGCAACCATTCAATTATTAACAAATGCAGCTAAAACACTAATATCTGGTACATCTGATTTTGAGATGTCAATATTTCCTATATGTGTAATTGGGGTAACAATATTTTTTAAATGTTGTTTATATTTATATTGTAGAACAGTTAATAATCCATCTGCATCTGCATTAGCTGATGATCATAGAAATGATATTTTAACAAATACATTTGGACTTTGTATGTCAGTAGTTGGTTATTATTATTTTTGGTGGTTAGATGCTGTTGGTGGAATTGTTTTATCATTTTATATTATGATTAATTGGTTCTTTACATTAATGGAATATCTTTCTATTATGTCTGGTAAAGCAGCACCTAAAGAATTTATTTCTCAAATAATTGTAATCTGTTGGAATCATGATCCAAGAATCAAGGCAATAGACACTGTTCGTGCATTTCATTTATCAATGGGATATATGGTTGAAGTTGATATTGTTTTAGCTGAAAATATGACATTGATGGAAGCTCATGATATCGGTGAGTCTTTACAAATGAGATTAGAAAAACATCCCAATGTTGATCGTGCATTTGTTCATTTAGATTATAATGATGATCATGATGTATTAAATGAGCATGAAACTGATAATTGATTTTTTTGTTTTAGAAATATCATTATGTAAAAGAGTGTATTACAATCAAATTTAGTGAACAATTTAAATCCAATACATTTATTCTACTGGTTTAACTTATCTTTAGTATTTAACTGACAAAAACTTCTTTTATTTGTTTTAATGAATATTATGAATTTCAATGATAAACAATCATCCTTTCATTTGTATATAAGTTAATTATATTATTGAGTATCTTATTAAAGAATAATACTCTTATTTAAAATAATGTATTAATAAATTATAAATCATTATTTCTTTCATAAATCAAAGAATGTTAAAATTGTTGAAAGTTTATTATATTTTATTCATTATATATTATTTTATCTACACAGATTGCATAATTATTTTCGATCCGTATACAGCACAATAGCTTATAACAGAAATGAATTAAAAAAATAATCAAAAGAATAAAATAAGATATAAAATGATTAAGATATTTTACTTTTGAGGATTTTTTATTATGACAAGAATCTCTCTTAAAAGAAAAAAAAAAGAATAAGTAAAATTGACTTCAATTAATTTACTGGTGGAAATACTTCTGGACCTTGAATTAATTCAGTTTTGTCCTTATAACAAACCTCAATGCAATAGTGAGAAGATGAAACAATTACTCTCTTTTGAATTTCTTTAATACATTTTTTCATTAATTCAAGTGCCTCTTCAAACTCCATACCAGAGTGCCAATTTTTATCTAAAAGTGCATACACAAAATTACTTCCAATTCCATGTGAAGCATATGTTTCAGGAACTAAAGTTCCAAATTGGTCTATCATAAATAATTCTGGCTTCTCATCAACACCTCCAAGAAGCATACTACACTGATACCCACCTTCACGTAATGAGTCAGACACTTGTCTTCTAATCCAATGAGCAATTGACTGTGTAGTACTTTTTAATCCATTTCGATAATAATTAAGAGCAATATTTCTTTGAACAAAATCAGCTAATACCTGACGATCATTACCTTCTCCAATAATTGTTAATAACCGATTTCCTTGAACAGGATATATTTTATTAAAATCATTTCGAACTGTAATGACCCCCCTTCCACTATTTCCATCAACTGCCATTAATACAAAATCTTTACCAACAATACCTATACAACTATCCATTTCTTTTGATTTTGATTTTATAGTTTCTTAATCAAAAATTTTTCTTATCTTTTTCTATTGAAGTTTTTATTTTTTATTTTTTCTTTTTTTTTATTTTTTGTTTTTCTTCACATTTTTTTTATAAACAAAAAAAAAAGAATAATGATTTTACTTATTTCTTCAATTATTTTTTAACTCATCTTATAACTAACAGAAAATCAATAAATCTTTTCTTAATTTCACTTGTTTTTTTTTTGAGTAATTGAAATGAAATTACCTTTTGTTATTATTAATAGTGACAATATGACAGAAAAAGGTTTACAAGATAAACACATTGAAATAAATAAATTCTCTTTAATACTAATTTACTAACAATACAAAAAAAGAACTTTATTGAAAAGAGTTTGTCATACTTCTCAATAAAAATATGTTAGAACAATAATTTTAAATAATTCTATAAAAACTACATATTAAAAAGCAATAAAATAACATAAAAAGAATATAGTTAAAAAGATAAATTAAATTTTATAAAGAATAATTAAATTAAAGAAGAGAAATAAAAATAGGAGTTAAATCTAACTTAGAAAATTAAACATTTAGTTGAATGAAATAATATAAGAAGAGAGATTAAAGTAACTATTTAATAAAAATGAGAGATAGATTAAATTAGTCTTTGAAAATTGTGGATTGAAAAAGTAATATCTTAAAAGATTATTTTCTTTTTTTTTTTACGAATCATTCTTAAATTAGACGTTAAAAACAAGACTTAAAATTGAAATATTATGTTTTTAAAATGGTTATTTTCTTAATTAAAGATTAAATAAAATTAAAAAATTATCTTCTTTTTATTTACCCAAAGAAAACATAATCATTCTAAAGTATCTCATTGAATCAATTCAAGTTATAGTATCTATTTTAAACTTAAAATAATGAGTTTTATCTTTCTTGAGAATAATACTCTTTTTTTTTTTAGAAAACGTTCATCCAATAAATTTTTTCTTTTTTTAATAAAGAAAGATCTTTTGGTTTTTAACATTAATTATTAGGTACAAAGGGTTGATGTCAGACTTTAATGAATTATTCTTTATTAATAATAAACCAACTCCTCTCCTTTATGCCTATATGAAAATTATGGTTAAATCAGTTAGTCTTGGTGAAGCAAGAATGACATGTAGAGTGTTATTACAATATGCTAATGCACAAGGGTTTTTAAAAGAGATGTTGTTATGGTTTGGTTGGGAGGAGATTGAATCAACACCTCCTGCCACATTTATTTTCAGGGGAAACTCTTCATTTACGAGATTGTTATGTTATTACATGGAAGAAGAATTACAAGACTTTCTTAAGAAAACAGTTGGGAGATTAGTGGCAGATATGATTACAGAAATTGAATTAAATTTTGATCCATCTTCTTTACATGATAAAATTAATGAGAATTTATTATTTGAGAACCTTGATGTAGTATGTGCTGTATTAAATAAATTTGCATCACTTATAATAAAGAATATTTCTTTAATACCACTTAAATTTTCAGGAATTATTCGAGATTTAATGGCTGAAATAAAAAGAAAAGATTGTGACATTGAAACACGGTATACTACATTTAAAACAATTTTCTTTTTAAGGTTTTTATTTCCTGCATTAAATCATGCAGAAAAATATATTCCAAGTGAACTTAGATGTGATTTAATTCAAGTAAAAGAACAAATTCCACAAATAGTTCGTTTTGGACAAATTGTAGTTAATGGAAAAGAGTCAGAAGATCAATTAAGTAAATATGTTCTTAAAGCTTGTGACCCTTTACGTACAGCAGTAGAAACAATTTTTAATTATTTCTGTTCTTTTAGTTCACATAGGCCAAAAGAATTATCAGGAATTAATTTTAAACAACAACAATTGCTTACTAGTGAAATACTCTCTTTTATTAAACCTTTTTTATCTCAATTTAAAGAACATCTTGAAGAGTCTGGAAATAATGAATTATTTATAAAATTATTCGAATTAATTAAACGAGGAAAAACTCCACAAAAACCTTCATTAGAATTAGAGCCATTAGAATATTCAACAAAAAAACTACATAATTATCTTATGAAAAGAATTGAAGAACTTAAAATTGAAAATGACTATTATTCATCACGAATAAAAGAATTTCATAATGATATTACAATAATGAGATTTATCATTGAAAAAATTCATCAAAATAAGGAATGCTTAAAATAATAATTTAAAATAATTTTTTTTTATTTTAATTGTATTGTTGTAAACATCTTATGTGCTAATACAGGTCTATTAATAATTATTTTTCCAGTCTCTATAAAGACTTTTTCTTTCTCAATTACTCGTTGAAAATGCTACTTTATAAATATTTAGTTTTGTTGTTATAAGAATTAAATAAAATAATACAAACCGAAACTATAAACCTTTCAGGAGATGATTGAATCTTTTTAAATAATTCAATATCAATAAATGACTTCATTGTCAATTGACTATAATCTAATAAAACATTCCACATCTTTTGTGCTAAAAGAAGTTTTTTTTCTTTTGCATATTTAACAAATGAGTCTAATAAACAAGACTTCATTTCATCTGAATAAATTAATCCATAAAATTCTTTTGATATATCAATGGAACATGTTGAATATAGACTAGGAATAAATCCTTGAATTGGGTTTACAATAACAAATATTTGAGTAAAAGGATGTAGTGAAGGAATAAAAGATTCTTTATTATCAATGATTTCTAATGGAGGATATATTTCTGATGATACTCCACTTAAATTAAAAGAAGCAAGAAATTTTGCTATATCAACAATTCGAGAAGGGTCACATGGTTGAGTAGTATATACAAGACATTGTAAACCTGAAAGTAAAGAAAAGAGAATATTTGGATAACAAGAAGAAAATTCAGAAATAAAAGAGTCATATCCAAATTTGTTTGAATCACTTGAAATTGTAGGAAAAGAACAAGGAGGGAATGGTGAATTAATTGAATATTCTTCTGATAATGTCCAATGTTCTTTATTTAAAGAAGAAGATAGTAATGCAGTATTATTCAAATTACTAAATTGAGGTTGGTTTGAAGTAATTGAATGTAAGGTATTTATTGAAGTTTCATTTGTTGAAGAAAATGGCTGAGATGGATGTGAACTAACATTTGAAATAAATGTTGAAGGAGGAGAAAAAGACCAATTAAACAATGAATGACCACCACATGCAATAATATTTCCAGGATGAATTGGATTTGAATAATCTGAACATAAAGAATAATGATTATGAGTTGAAAGAAGAATGAGTGAATAACTTGTTACTATACGATGAAAGAGAAAAGGAACAGGGTCAGTTGAGTCTATTAATTCTTGTAAAGACATTACATCAATATATTCTTTATGTTCTAAATATTTATGTTTTTGAGAAATTGATTGAAATTTAATAGCCAATTGAGTTAATTTATCTGATAATAAATCTATTTGTGAAGTAGTAAATGGTGAAGACTGCATAACAGCAATACAACAAGTAGTTACATATCCTCTTTTATTTGATGGATTAAAACAAGTAAAATGAACACTCATAACATGATAATTTGTAATTGTATGAAGTAATATTGTTATATTAGAATATTCATAATAATCTACTCCCATCATCATTCCAATTAATTCATTTTCTACATTCATATTTAATGGGTGTGTGACTTGTTTATAAACAACTTGTTCTCCACTAATTGTATCAAATTCTACTATATACATCCCTACAAAAAAACCATTTGTTTCAACTATTGATTGTTCTGAACTATCTATATATGGTGTGTGTGACACTGATGGAATTCCAATAATCCCGTTATCAATAAAGGAAGTGTCACTAGTATCACTTGCTGTCATGTTCTTCTTTTTCAGTGGATTTTTCTTTTTGAATTTTTTTTAATAAAAAAATAGTTTTTTTTACTATTTTTTATTTTTTGATTTTTTCATTTATTAATGTCTCTTCATCTTAATGAATTTTTATGAAAAACTTATTAAAAGTTCCTTTGATATTTTTCTTTTCTCTTTCATCAGAAAAACTTAAAAAGATCTAAATCAAAATGACTGAAAAGCTAAGTGATTGGGAAGTTCTAGATGAAAATTTCAACAAAACGAATACTGATATACCTCCACAGCTTCCTCCTAAGCCAGAAAGACTTACTATTGCTGGTCATCATACTCAAAAAGCTGAAATAAAATCACCTAGTGAAAATACTGGTAAAATTATTTCAAATGATAAAGAAAAAGATAGTGTTCCATCTCAACAACAAAGGAGTTCTCTTCAAATTGGTGACAGTGTTGAATTATCTGAAAACCAAAACCTTATTGATAATTCAATAAGCAAAAATCAACCAAGTAAAGATGTCTTTGAAACAACTAATGAACCAATAAAACCTAAACCTGAAACTAAAGCATTATCTAAAGAAGATTACAGAGAACGTATTGTTAATGAGATGTTTGATACAGAAAAGAGTTATGTAAATTCAATGGAAATATGTATAAAAGGATATTATGAACCACTTATACAATCAGGACATAGTGTTGCACCTGCAGATAAAGTAAATGCAGTTTTTCTTCATTTTCAAAGTGTTTTATCAATTAACAAAGAATTATTGAAGAATATGACTGAATTAAAAGAGAAAGGAGAGTTATCAACAAGATTAGGAGAAGCGTTTAGTCAATTTATACCAATGATGAATGTTTATAAATTATTTCTTGGTAATTCAGATACATCATTACAATTTCTTGTTGAATTAGAGAAGAGTTCTAAATTTAATGATATACTTGATCTATTAAGAAGTCATCTTCCAGGAGACAATCAATTAGATCTTCGTAGTTATTTAATTATGCCAGTTCAACGACTACCAAGATATAAATTATTATTAACTGATTTAATTAAACATACTGATGATGATTTTGTTGATAAGCCAAAATTAATAGATGCACTTGATAAAATATCAAAACTTGCAACATTAGTTAATGAAGTTATTAAAGAACGTTCAAGAAATCAAAAATTATTAGAACTAGTTGATAAAATAGAAGGACTAAGTCATGAATTAGTTACACCATATCGGGAATATATTAAAAGTGGTTCGTTATTAAAAATATGTAGAAAAGATAATAGAGAACGATATTTTTATTTATTTAATGACTTATTAGTGTATGGAATTGGTGATGAAAATAAAATTAAAGTTAGTCAAGAGTTTCAATTAGAATCACTTAAAATTAATTTAAACCAAAACGTCCCAAATTCTTTTCAAATTCTCGCAAAGAAAAGTTTTTCTGTTATTGCAAAAGATGAAACTGATCGTGATGAATGGATGAAAGCAATAAATGATGCTATTCAATTGGAAAAGTCAAAATTAAAAACTTTAAAACGAGATAAGAAAGCAGAAGATGAATATATCGCCCCTGTATGGGTTCAAGATACTCAAAATTGCCAAGTTTGTGGAGCTAAATTTACTACACTATTTAGAAAACATCATTGTAGGAAGTGTGGGTTATGTATTTGTTCTAATTGTAGTAAACAAACAATTATTATTAATGGAAAGAAAGAACGTGTTTGTGATAGTTGCGCTAATAATAATAAAAAATTAGGTGAAAGTACTCTCACTGAACAAAACAGTTCTGAAAGTAAAGATACACTCCTCTCAACTTCTACGGAACAAGACCAACAACTCACAACTAGTTCATCTAATGATGATAATAAAAAGATAGACGTTCAACCAATTCTACAAGAAGAGTCTAATAACGAACAAAGTACAAGTGTTGATGTAGAGAACATGAACAATAATGAACAACCTCTTGAACTTCCAAAATTACCACCAAAACGAAAGAGTGGCTTTGTAAAAGAATCAGTCCAACAGAAACAACAACCTGATATTCTTCAATTAAAAGAAAACATAGTAGACTCCCCTTCAAATGAAAAGGTAGTAGACTCCCAAGAAGATGTCCCTCAACAACAACCAGAAGAATTAATTCCACCAACAGTTCCACCAAAAAGAAAAACTCAAAAAACACTTACTCAAGAAGAAGGTGTTAAACAAGAAAACCAACCATTAAAAAGAAATGACTCAAAGACGTTACAACAAGACAAACCATCTTCTATTGAAACTCAACAAAAAGAACAACCATCCTCTAACAAACAAGAGCCAATTGAATTATGTTCTCAACCAACTGGTAAACTCCAAAACTCAGTAAATGGTATAACTCCTACCCCTTCCAAGAAAGTAGCACCTCCAATCCCACATCGCTCTCTTCCTCCAAAACCCCTTCGGTCTAGTGTTATAACTTCTCCTTTAACAAACACTTCTTCTCAACCATTACCAAAACAAAATCCTTTTGTCCCACCTCAACAAAAAACACCAACTAAACCTTCACCTCAACAACTCGGTTGTAAACAAACTCAAAGCCAACCAACTTCATACCGTCAAACAACACTAAATAAAACCACTACACAACAAAATTCAGCAAGGTTAGCAGCCTCACTAAATCAATCATCTCCACGTACAAAAAGTGTGCAACCAGAAGTGGTCAAATCAACTCCAATAAAAGAAGACATAAGTCAGTATCGTTCTGTAAGAGATTCTCCATTCTTAAAACAACAACGAGCACAAAAAGAAAGTGAACTTTCACAAGTCTCCCCTCGAAGACCACAACCACCAACACCAAAAAGAGGGGTTACAAAATGATGTTTTAATTAAAATTGTTTTCTTTGGATTTATTAATATAGTTAAAGTGTCTTCAATTTTAACATTTGTTAGGTTTGTTATATCTCTAAACAGTATTGTTTTATGGAGGTTTAGGTTCATAATAACTCAGTCTAGTACAATCATGATAACACTCCAATTCATTTGTTATAACTTTCTCTTTATATTTTCATATGGATAAATTAATGGCAAATTATATAGTTTCTAAAACTTTAAGGTTTTTGATTATTTTTTAATATGAAATAATATTTTGAATATTTTAGTGTTAAGATTTCTTACGCCACATTAATATTTAATTTTTTTATATAATAGGTTATAGTTAAAACATCAAACACAACACCAATAATATTTTTTTTTATTTAACAACAGGCATATTCTTGTCATTAGTATTATTAGAGTAATGTTTTTGTTTATGGATTTTCTCATTGCTTTTATATCAATAAGTTATATCTCAAAAAAGACTTACAAAAAGGTTCTACTAACTTCACATTTTGGATTAAGGTTAGTTCACCTTCATTATCAATTACAACTAAAATTACCGAGATATTATTTTCAGATGTGTATTTAATTTTGTTAGTTATTCTGTTACGGAATTAAATTACTTTGTTGAGTATTATTGTTTTATCAATGTTAAGTATTTAGTTCTTTATTATTTCTAGACACTAAATTAAGTTTTGGTTGTATTTCTTTAAATATTCATATATTCATGACAATATGTTAACAATACCAAATCTTTTATAACATGATAAAAACAGCGTAAATTTAATAATTATTATATTTTAGTTTACTTATACATCAATTAACAGTTATATATCATTGATTGTTGTTGTTTTATTCTTTACAAACAATAATAACCCTTTCCAAAAAGACTGATTGTTAATGGAATATTAATTGATATTATTGATAAACACCCTCTGAGACATTCAATTTCAATTGATTTAATTCCAATTGATAATGTATTTCAATGTTCTATCTTCTTCTATATATTCTATAATTTTATATTCATTCAATTATGCTTTCTCTTTTTAAATGTATTGAATATTAAACTTCATAAATGATTATTTCTTTATTTATTCTTCAATCATCAAATATTTCTTCATATTCATTATAAACATGAAATGATTCAATAATATCAAATAACATTATTGAATAATGAAATAAAATGAAATGCATTAAAATTAAAATGTTCATACTTCATTTTATCATACTTTTATCGTTCTTTCTTTATTATTATTATTATTTCTTATTGTATTTTCCATTCTTTTATTTTAATTTCAAATAACTATATAATTCATAGTATTTTTCTTTCATTTTCTTATTCATTATTCTTATTTATTCATAATTTCTTATTTTTGTTTCATAATTTCTTAATTTATTCTTTTTATTGTTGATTGAAAGTAACATCATTATTTGATTTGATTAATTTCTAATTATCATTTATTTCATTGAATATCACATTATTTTTATTATTTCTTATTTTTTGTTATTTTTATATCTTCATATTATTTAATTTTTGTGTTTGTTGTTGTTTTACATCTTCAAAACGGAAAACGAAAATTAGCAAAGAAAAATGCATCTAAATAATTTACAAAAAAATGAAAAAGAAGCATAGTTTAATGCATTATTAGAATATTCAACTTATTATATTGTGCTCCTAAAATAAAAAATAAAAAAGTATGAAATATACAATTTGTAAATATTTATGTTTATATTTTATATTCATTTATATTCATTTTGTATGAAATATTAATGAAATAGATGATTTGATGAATCATATTTATTTTTATTCTTTTATTCTTTTATTTACATGTTATTTATCTATCATATTTTTATATATTTATTTCTCTGTTTATATTATTTATATCATTGTGTTATTCTTATTATCTATATATTATTATATTCTTCTTATTTGATTATTTTTCTATTTATATTATTTATATTTTCTTATTGTTATTCTTTTCTATTTAGATGTATTTTTTTATTTGTTTATTCATCTTTATCATTTTTATATTATTATCATTTATATCTATTTTCAATTTATATTTATTCTCTTTTGATTTATATTAATATTAAATTTATCTTTTATACTTTGAATTTATTATTATATCATTGATTATCATTTCTATATTTATTTATCATTTATTCTTATTATTCTTTTGTTTTATATTCTATATATATATTCATATCATTTTCATTTATCAATTATCACTTATTACATGTTATAATAACATAACACTTATGATTGATTATATAATAAACATCATGATGAAGTTATACATATAAATAATAAACATAAAAATAATAAAATATTTTTCATTAATAAAATAATGTTAATCATTTTACACAATTAAATTAGACACTTTTATTTCATATTTCTAATTTTTACATTAAAAATACACTTTTTATTTCTTCTTTTATTACATCTTTGTGATTTATTACTTTTATATTCTTTATTATACTTTCTTTTTATAATCTCTACCTTCTACTTTTATTCTTTCTTCTTTTACTTTCTTTTTCATTTTATTCTTTTAAATATTCTTTCTTTTTCATTTCTTTATTTGTTTATTATTCTTATTTCTATTATCTTATTCATTTGATTCATAATAAATTAATTCAATGAAATAACACAAATAAATTGTTTATTTATTCATTTTATCTCTATTTCTATTTCATTCTTATTTCGTTTCTTATTTATCAAATAAAACACTATCATTGTGTGTGAAAATTTCATTAAATGAAATTAAATAAATCAACATTGAATTATGTCAATTTTTATTTCACCATTTCATTCATTGGAAGATGATATTAAATGTTTATATTCTTCATTGTTTTGTTTTTATTCTTCATTATTTTGTTTTTCTATTCATCAAGATTGAATCATTTCATTTCAATTACTATGATTCGTTTTGGTGTGAAATATTTTGGAAGTTGTTTTCCACAAAGTGCATTTGATATTCCTTTATATTCAAAGGAATGTTGATTACAATATGAATATGTTTTATCATTTTCTTTAAAAATACAAATATCATCTAATCCAAATTCAAATAAATAATCATGTGATTGTTTAAATAAATGAAATGCATATTGTGGGAATATAATATCAAATTTCTTCATTCTTTTCATTCTTCCATTTGATTTTAACGAAAATACAAATGATTTTGAATCAATTATATAACTTTCAACTTTATCAATTTTAGAATTAACATATCCTCCAAATTTATTTCCATCTTCATCTTCAATAATAATTATTATATGTTCTTTATTCATTACTCTTTCTCCAAATACTGATGTGTCTTTATTCCAATCATCGATATATGAATCAAATAGTATATTGTTTATTCTTTTTTCTGTCAATTCTTCTAGTTGTTTGATTATTTCTTTTGTTTTGTCATTTGATTTGTTATTTGATGTTGATTGTGTTATTCCCATTTTTGTTATTTTTAAGTTTTTCTTTTTATTATTTTGTTATTTTATTACATCTCATATTTATTATTAAGTTCTTATTTTTCTTTTTATTTTATCCTTTCAATTTATTTCTTTCTTAATGTCACTTCTATCTTTTTATTCATTTGTTTCTTTTCATATCCAATGATTAGATAAATGAAATAATTCATATTTGAAATGATAGGTTATTCAGTTTCTATTTAATAACATATCTCTAAACCATAACATGTATTTCACTCATCAATACCTCATTAATATTAAAATATGAATATTGTTGTATTTAAATGATAAGAAATGAACATTGTATATTAGAGAAGAACATATCATCACAAATACAAAGAATTAATGAAAGTATAGATAAAATAGTGAATAAAACAAAACATTGATATTTGCCATACTAAAAGAAATGATTTGAATGGTATTATGTCAATGAATGAAATGAAGAAAGAATAAGAAATAAAAGAAGAAAAAGAGATAAAAAGAAGAATAAAAGAAGAGAAGATAATGAGATTAAACTAATAATTAAAAGAAATACTACAATGGCAAACAGTAATAAATAATGAATTTCAATATGAAAAAAATAATGAAATTCAATGACTAATTTCAATGAGAATGAAAAGATATGAAAGTGCAATTAGAAATATAAAGAGAAAAACATAGAAACAAGAACATATTACCAATTCAAAAAGAAGACTGAAATTACATTTAAAAAGAAAATGAATCTGATAATAACAAGAAATTGGAATTGTAAATGAATAGATAATACAAAACAATAAAAATGAGAATATAGATAAGTAAATTTAAACAAATAATCTATTTGAATTGAAACATGAAAGAATATACAAAAATGAATAAGAAAACAAGTGAAAATAAAGAATTACATGAAAAATGATTGAAAATAGTTAAATAAATAAAAACGAGAGAAAGAAAAGTGAACAACAAACAATAAAAGATGAATGAATTTCAATTTTATGTTATTTTTACATATCAACAAATACATAATATAATAAATAAAAGATGATGATAATGAGAAAGAAAACATACCAATAGTTCAAAATAATAACAAAATGAAATTGATGAGATATTTTGTATTAGTTGTGATGATTGAAAGAATAAGAAAAAGAATGAGAAATGAAAATAGAATAAGAACAATACGAAATAAAGAAAATCAATAAAAAATAAAAAGAATGATGATATAATTTATAATTCATGATTTTTATTATAAAATATTATATATGATTTAAATACAAGAATAATGGATAATAGATTTAATATTAAATAGTATGAAATAATCATTATATTCATATTTTTTATTTTATAATATTTATAATCATTTGTTCTTTCATATGCTTTGTAATTATTTGTTATTATTTCATTTATATCTGTTTTTATTCTTTATACTTCATTTTTTATTTATGTCTGTTTATCATTATTATTAAGTACTTAAGATATTATTAATGAATATGAATATAAAATTAATTATAAAAATAATTTGATTATTTCAATAATGTATTTTATTATTTTTAGTTTTATTTTAT